TATATATATATATACACACACACATACACACATATATGTATACACACACAAACATTCTTAATTGGTGGAGAAACATAAATTTTGTACCATATCAATCTGGAAAACGTGGTAGATTTGAGAATCTTCCAAGAATATTCTAACAGTAAAATTTATTAAGTATGATTGAAATGTTAGCACTTACAAAAAGATGTGTCTAGTAATGGCTTTTATTAGAATTTGCTTATTTTCTTTTGTTATCTCATTTACTAGTTTATATTCCATATTGTACAAGCTAAACATTGAGTAAATATGAGTTTCCTGTCTTGGGGTAGAAACCATATTGGTACAGTAAGAATCAGTGGTGAAAATTAGGAAATATTTCTTAGACAACAAAATGCTGTCCACTTCAGAATATAACAGCAGAACAGTTTGTGGAAATGATTTTGTACTGGGGGAATTTTCATTTGCAGTATTATGAAAACAAATAAAAGAAAACCGAATATACTTTATAAGAAAATGTCCCATTTTTAAAGACACAATGAAACTGTTGAAAACCAGGGAAGAGTCACAAGGCTTCCAGTAATGAGACAGGAGAGAGCATTTCAGCATTGTTTTCATTTTGCAAAATCATCTATCACACAAAAGTAGTTCGAATTGTCTGTCTTATTTTCAATTTTTCCAAAATATATTCAGACAAAATAGTCTGAATTGGCTATCTTGTTTTTCTATTTTGTTCTAGATTTGTTTCTGATTATGGCCCATTTTTTTTTTTTTTAATTTAGATGCTCTCTCTTTGGAGGAATGAATAGCATTTTGTTTAATCTTCTCTTGCCTATCGAAAATGAGTGCAGAGAAGCTACAGGATGACAAATAATTTTTCTCACAGAGCCTTTATCATTTTCTTTCAGGCTGTTCTGAGCCTTTGGGGATGAAATCAGGACACATACAAGACTATCAGATCACTGCCTCCAGCATCTTCAGAACGCTCAACATGGACATGTTCACTTGGGAACCCAGGAAAGCTCGGCTGGACAAGCAAGGCAAAGTGAATGCCTGGACCTCTGGCCACAATGACCAGTCACAATGGTTACAGGTAACATTTTTAAGTTGTTTCACCACTCAAGGTCCCCTGCCTTACAAGATTTGCTGTTGGTTAAGTGACTATTGAAGTCATCACATTCACACAATTTTAAGTGTGCCTTTGTTTGACTTTGGCTTACCTAAATTGGTAAAACAAAAATTCCTTATAAAGTCATGTCCCTGGACTATTTTCAGTCTGGTGTTGACTTATAGATGCTATCAGGTTGATATTGCAGACTGTAGCAGATGGCAGAGCTTCTGCATTAACTTGCATCTTTTTGAATGCTTTGTGTTAATACTGATTTTGAAAGTTTGATGGCAGGAATCCAAAGGACATTGAAATCATGTCACTGACATGCAGTAGTCTCATAGTATCACTACTCATGACATATTAGCTCTTTACCTGTGACTGCTAGGCAATGGAGCAATTTTATTATACTCACCCGACAGAACTTGCTTATAAAAGGAAAGCATAGATTCCACAGAGTCATTCTATCATTTGCACATGACATGAGTTGACAGTGCTTTTTAAAACAACCTTGAAATGCACTCATTTGTGTAGTAATTTTGAGTGTGCATGGAATTTTTTAATGTCTCCTGTGGCAAAGAGAGAGAGAGATCAATTTTATAATCACTTTTCTTGCTAGAACTGAGTTCAAATCTTATTTATTGTTATGCAATATGCATGAGTTCAAAATTTGTGATAATTATGGTATGCCTGGAAATTGTTAATTTTTTTTTAAAATAGCAAATACTACCCCTCTACAAGTCACATTTGCTAAATCTGAAACTAATTTAATCAGGTCACCTGAAATTTGCAATAGTCCCTTTTCAAGTCTTTTCACTTGGTTTTACTTTTTTTTAAGTGGAACAAGAAATATTCACTGTTTCCCTTCTTTCCCTTTATATTCTTCATGGATTTTTATTTATCCGCAGTTATATCAAACCCTTATGTTAGCTATCACACATTGTGTATTATTATGCATGTATTACGGTTTTGAAAGTAGGAAGTATTTTTTGTCTTTCTAGCACCCAACCTGATATCTTTGTCTTGCATGTAGCAGTGTTTATTAAATTAAGTCATTTGCTTCACAAAGGTTTATTCATGATGCACCCATGCAGCACCAAATGATAAATAGTGAAGACACACAAGCCAGCAACAACTCTGTTCCTTCTCTTTAAATGTATTTCTTAAAATCTATCTTTACTTGACTTATATGACACCAGACTTTGTTTTCCTCCTAGCTGATGTTTCCCAGTGTTCTTTACAGGCCACACTGTTACCCTCCTGCTGATGTCTCTTTCACTAACTCTATCAACTCAGATTAACATTTTTAGAAAATCCTGGCAATTTCAATTACTATATAGAGGATTCAAGTGCTCTAAATCACTTCTTGTCATCCCCACTGTCATGTCATAATCTGTACAACCAACCTTTCACTTGGGTTTCTGCTAAAGTCTCTTAATCAGCTTTCTTGTTTCTGATGTGAGTCCTTTAAAAAAAATATATTTCTGGAGCTGTAACTACTGTGTGTGTGTGTGTGTGTGTGTGTGTGTGTGTCTGATATGAAAATATTACTCTTATTCCCTTATTTAAAAATATATCAAATAATTTCTTTCAGCCTCAGAATAAAGTACAGATTCCTTAATGTAGTCTAAAAGTCTTTGCATGACTTGGCCCCATTTCATCTTTATGATAGTCTTTTAAATTCACTTTAGTTTCTCAAAGGAAACACTATCTGTCTCTTCCCATTCTTTCATAAATCCTCTTCCTAGAGGAAAAGAATAGGGAGAGCACTTTGGATCTACCTTTCTCTGTGATGGTTTAGCTGCCAGCTGCATCCTACCCACATCTGATTTAGATCCCTTCTCATATACCATGGTCTCTCTTTATCCTTGGGGGATATACTCCAAGATTCCCAGTGGATCTCTGAATTCATGGGTAATACTGAACCCTACATATACTTTCTTTATTTTCCTATGTGAGCTGTAGCATTGCCAAAAATTACCAGAGTTAGTTTGTCCTTATGCCACAGTGCCACCTTTACATTATTACTCCCAAGCTTTTAGGTCAGTATTGAGTAAAATAAGGGTCACTTGAACACAATCATTTGAATATTGTGTCAGTCACTCTATAACCAAGATGGCTGCTAATGGATCTGTGGGCAGGTAGGGGTTGGATACACTGGACAAGGAGATGACTTACATCCTGAGCAGGACAGGACTGAACAGCATAGTATTTCATCACAGTACCCAGAATGGAATGCCATTTAATTTTGGAAATTTCCATTTAATATTTTCAAACCAAGGTTGACTGTGTAACTAATACTGTGGAAAGTGAAGCCAGGGATAAGGAAGAGTGCTGAATTCATGCATTCTCCATAATTTTCTCACAGCAACATCTTGACACTGTATTAAAAATTGTGGTTTTGCCCTAGTTCATTTGCTTTAGGAGGACTAGGACATTGCCTGTATTGTTTACTTTCTCAACTTGTTGTCCAGTACCTAACCAAATACTTGAAGCAATATATGACATGTTGTAGGTACTCCTTAAAGATTTGTTGACTTAGTGAGTGACTGATTATTTCATAGAATAATTCAAGATGCATATTTGGGACTAAGAGTACATAAGTTTGAGTCCCCAACTGTCACATATTTTCCCATTTCTTTTTTTGGTACTAGGGATAGAACCCAGAGCCTCACACATACTATGCAAACATTCCAACCCTGAGCTACACCCCCAGCTCAATATTCTCAAAATTTAAAATGACATGTACAAAAGAAATCTGAAATATTGTATCAAAAGCAGTCATTTTAATACAACAGCTAAATTTTAATAATACATAACCTTTTGAGTTTTTACTATGAAGAAATCATGAAAAAAATCTTCCATTTGTTAGACTTGACAATGGTAAAGTTAAACTTCTTTGTTGCTATCATTTATTTTTAAATTGTAAATATTCAAGTCATATTTTATGCTAACTTGGTATAGCTAATATTATTTGTGAGTCTCAATGCCTTCTGGAATAAGACAAAACATTTTACACTCCAAAAGTAACTCAGGCTGGTAGACTAGACGTATCCACATAAAGCAATTGCCAGTGGCAAATTTTCTTGAGAAAGATAAAAATAAAACAAATATTTTACATGAATCAGGGTGTGATATTTTTCATTGCAAACCCTCTATCCATCACCATGTTTCAGATGGCTTTTCAACTGTCTCCTTAAAGTCTCTTGCCTGCTGGAATCGATTCATCCTGCTGATGACAGATTTTCTGTCAATTCAAGGACCAGTTCTTCCAGTAGATGTCTAATTTTTGTTGTGTCAAACATATTCAGACTCCTCAAGGCAAATTAAATTGACATCTTTCTTTTTAATTTATTTTTTTTCTGACTTCATGCAAGAAAAAGCTCCAGTATTGTGACTATTTTTAGTATTTTCCCCTCAGGAGAATATAATCTGCTCAACTGCATTGTTGGCATTAGTGCTTGTTAGTGTCTTTGTTAAAAATAAGATTAATATTTTTATAGATAACAATGCATAGGGTGATTTTGTTTGGGAGCTGCTGATATAGAGATCAATTTTTATTGCTAATTGAGGTTTTTGGAGTTATAAATTTAGTTATATTTTTAAATACACTCTTCAGAAGAAAAGACATTTCTGTCATTTAAATTCCTTTCCTTCATTATTAATTTCTTACTGATTGATTTTTAAGAAATTTCTTCCATATAACAACTATACATGTGATCCTTTGTTATTTCAGTTTAATGTGTCTGACAAAACCTAATCAAATAGTTCTGCAGATATATTTTTGTAAATGAAGCCTTCATATACTCTTACACCTAACTGACATATTTGAAGGAATCATTATTTTAGTTTTGGTTTGGGTTTTTACTGTTTTGTTCTTTTTTTTTAACTCCCACTTACTCACAAATCATTTTAACATTTCTAACATTGTATACTCGTTACAACTCTAGTATTTCTTCCAGTCTCTTCTATAAAGTTAAAGGCTACTGTGTAATTTTTAAAAACTGTACCAGCCAGGCACAGTGGTGCTTGGGAGGCTGAGATTGGAGAATCACAAGTTCAAAGCCAGCCTCAACAACTTAACAAAACCCTGTTTCAAAATGTAAAAAATAAAAAGGACTGAGAGTGTAGTTCAGTGGTAAAGTGCCCCTGGGTTAAATCCCTAATGCCAAAAAAAGAATTGGGCATATGGAACTGATTAGCTTCCCTGAGTTACTGTTAGTCATAAAAGTGTTATGCTACTTCTATCTGAACTTGTTAAAAATGTATCACATCCACAGCAGTCCTAGATGAGGCATTTTTCAGAACTCTGAAAGAATGTTGTTCTATCACTGTGATGTTTATGATGTCCTCCAAAACATTAAAACTCAACCAAAACTTTTAGCCAAAAGCCATACAATGTGTTTTCCAAAAGCTTCCTAAAACTTAAAATTTCAGTTTCTGCCTCTCAAAAATCTTATCAACATTTAAATTGGAAAAATACTAAGTCATTCATTCCTGACTCATGGCTGGATATCCCCAACACATTATTGGATTAGATAGATTTTAAACCTTGTTATAAAAATAAAGTGACATTTCACTTACAGAGATTTTTTAGGATCAAACTATTGGCTTCTCTGGTTACTTTCTTTGTAAAGAAGCTTGGAATTGTGTCAGATTGCTATATGGATTAAATAAGCTCATGGTATATGTATCCAGTACTGGGAAGTCCTTTCTTTCTCTTCTGGTGGTTTGGGTAACTTTAGGATGAAAACATTTAATACCACCAATTAAGAATGCAAATGTGTGTGTGCGTATGTGTGTGTGCGTGTGTGTGTGTGTGTGTGTACTCTTCAATTCAAAATGGAATTTCCAATAAAACAATAAAATGCAAAGCATTATATTAGTGGATAGGCTGCAAAGAGCCAATAATGTAGATAAATTACCTAAATTGACATTAGTGTGCCACACATGGTGGCACACTCCTGCAATCCCAGTTACTTAGG